CATAACTTTGACAATTTATCTCCCAAGTAACGTCAAGTTGGTGTCAAGGCCTCCTATTTTATCTTGAAACTAATTTTATCTAATTTGTTTTAATTTTATACGTATATATAAACAGTGCACTCTAGGAAAAAACTCACGACTGATTATTTGTAGCAAATTGGAAGTAAAATTTGAAAAATTGCGAATTTGGAAAAATAATGCCACTTATCTCCTATATCTACGCCACTGGTGCACGTTAATTCTAAGTAAATAATGTGGACAGTACTTAGGTAAATCCACATACCAAATTTAAATTCATTCCAGTTGACGGTTTTGAAGATATTAAATAAACAGTTTTTTATTTGTTTAAAATCAGCACCTCGTATCTTTTTGTTGCATACAGGACCCCCTTAAAATGCAGTCCTGTGTATGATGTTTCATTTTTGGTCAAGTCTTGTGAATCACCCTGTATAATGTTTACCTGTGCTTTGTGACAATAAACATATTATTTTTCTCGTCTTTTGAATAACGGTCGTCAGAAATTGGAATATTTTATTTTTCACGCCATCACTAGGACAAACGTGTACAATGTGCACTTATTCTGTAAGGCTCGCTTGAGTGAAAAGGGGGAGTTATACATAAATAAATAAGTAGCGTTTATTGCCCAACAGTTTTACAGGACAGTCCTAAGATAAGCCAAAATAACAAGAACAGAAAACGTGGTCACTCAGGTGAGTAACATATCATAAATTATCCAAGCACTTTCTAGCTACCTCCAGACTGCTGTTCAAACTGTCAGCATGTATATCACAATAATTTGATGTTGGATTGAAACTTTCACACATCACATATATGGGTGCCTTCAAAAACAAATTTGTGCGAGCCCTGTCGCAATAACATGTTTTAGCTGTACGATTTTGAATAGATGGAACATTAAAGTTTATTTGAGCCACAATCTCATTAGCATCAATTTGATTGAGTAATAGTTTATGCAAAAACATAATTGATGCTCACTTCCTTCTCAGTTCTAAAGGCTGCACTTGAAACCTAGACAATAACAAACTTTCAGATATACCACGTTCAGGATATATACCGTAAACCTTAAAAGAATTTTAGAAACTTTCTCTGAACATGCTCAAGAGAATCAATGTATCAGTTGTAAATTGGGTTCCAAATTAACGATGCGTATTCCAATTTCAATCTAATATATGCAGAATACAAAACCAACAGTGACTCTGGGCGGCTAAAGCTTCTACAGTTTCTCACAATAAAACCGTACGCCCGCGAAGCTTCACTCAAATTTTGAGCTATGTGGAGTGAAAAATTAAGTTTATGGTCAAAAACTACACCCAAATCCTTAATTGAGTTATAACGATTTATAATCAGCCTTATAATTAAATGTACAAGCAAATCTGACAGACGCATTAAGGAATAAATAATTATTCTTGTGACACCGAGCCACTAGACAATCAATATCACGCTGAAGTGCAATACAATCAGTCTCAGAGTCAATATTCCTGAATAATTTTAAATCATCTGCAAAGAGCAGCCTTTTACAACTTAAATAATGCACAACATCATCAATAAATAAGGTAAACAATAAAGGACCCAGATTTGAACCCTGAGGCACTCCCGATTTAGTTATATACTGGTACGACTTGGACCCATTAAAAGTAACATATTGCTTCCTTTCATGAAGATAACTTTGAATGAGTGCTAAAGCTGATGAATGGAATCCATAATAAAAAAGTTTATTCAAAAGTATGCCATGGTCTACCCTATCGAACGCTTCAGCAAAATCGGTATATACTACATGTAGTTCTCCTCGCCGATCGACACATTCAATCGCGAACTGAGTGAAGATTATTAAATTAGTTACTGTGGATCTCTTAGTAAGAAGACCATGCTGAAAAAGGAACAGAGATCAATAAACTGCGGAGTAAATTCTCTTATGCAATAGTACCTCCAGAAATTTGGAGAAATTCGACAATATTGCCATTGCTCTATAGTTTTTAATATCGGTATTATCCCCTGATTTGAAAATAGGTGTCGCTCTATAAAGTTTCCAAATATCAGGGAATGTGTTGGTTTCTATAGCCAGATTGTATATTTTTAATAACGGCTTAACAGAGACATGAATACATTCTTTGACTACGAACGAGCGGATGTTGTCTGGGTCGGCCGTTACTCTATTCTTGAGTTTGTTAGATGCAGCAGTAATCTCATTTTCATGAATGTTATTGAAAAATATGTTAACCTGACTAGTAGGATTCCTGCCTTCAATAAAATCATTACGAGTAGATGGATCAACAAAAACATTATTAAAAAAATCTGCAAATGCATTGACAGCACAGTAAGGATCCTTCAACGTCATTCAACTTCATTTTAACAGGAATCCTAGTAGTTCGATTTTTTGTATGCATGAAGCTCCAAAAATGTTTAGTATCTTGAGAGATGGACATCTCAACATTACGTGTATAATTTTTATAGGCCACAGATATTTCACGCTTTACCTCAGATCTAAAACGTTTGTACTGTTCATGTAGATGGTTATTGTGACTCCCATGGTACTTCTTGTATAACTTTGCTTTATGCTTGACTTTCCTAATAATTTCGCTGGTATACCACGAAGGGTACTTATGACTAAAAGATTTATATTTGGGTACGTAAATATCAAAGATAGAGTATAAAAAATTATAAAATTCAGCAATAGCTAAGTTAACATCTAAGAAGTTATCTAAAAAAGAAAAGTCTGCAATGAGGAGAGTATTATACAGCTCTGTAATATTTGCTTTTCGGAAATTATACATGTTAATATCGCAAAATAAGGGAAATGCGTCAGCGTTAACATTAATATTTTCAAAACACATATCAAGAGCTGTATGGTGGGGGATATCTTCAGGTACCAGTGGCCAAGTATCACGAGAAACAGAACAAGTTTCATTTAATAATATTGAATCTAACAGCCTTCCATTATCATTCAAAACAGTATAGCATTGTTTAAGATTCAACACAGTGAGCAAACTTATTGCAGCATTTTTCTTACGGTCAGAATTACCCACAAGTTGAAAATTCGGATCATTGAAATCACCTAACAGTATGACGCTACCTGATTGGAAACATATCATTTGTTCTAGTTCCTCTACAAACTGTTCAGACACGTCATTAGTTATAGTAGGGGGAATGTACATTACAGCCAAATGAACGTTTATCTGACCTATCCAACATCTACAAACTAATATATATTAATAATAATAATAGTAAATGGCTTTATTCGAAGAGACAATGCTTACAAAAATAGTGTTCAACAAAAAGGAATAACTGCTCTCGAATCTCAATCGGGGGAAAGCTGACATCTAGAATTGACACGTCTAGAAGGCAGAAATACAACAAAATTTAAGCATGCGTTGAATAAAAACTGAAATATCCCATCAAAGCCGGATCACTTTGCTCTCCTGACGCCGGTGACTTTAAATGATACATTTTATACGTGTGTAATTATTCAGGCATCTGCACACATTTTTGAAAGCTTTCTCAGACGAAGATTCCAGGACACCGCGGCTGTTACGAGAATCCAAAGGAATTCTGTTAATGCGATTTTAAAGCTGCCTTGTTCCACAATCTCGACATCCTCGGGACAAAGGAGCGGTCGTATCTGCCAGTTATGGATGTACGAAGTTCTACACGATTAGGATGGTAGGTCGAAGTCAGGCGGGTCTGTCTGGCAGGCACATAGCGTGGCGACATCATGGAGGAGAGCTATGAGGAGCAAAGCCCGTTTTTGTAGCGTTAGAAGAGAGCTAGATCGCCGACAGCCCGCCGGTGGGAAAGGGACTCGAGACTGTTTGTTAGAGAATCGTCATCGATCAGTCAGTAAGCCCTCCTTTGGGCGGCACCGAGCATGAATAATGTACGCTAGGTCTTATCTGAACCTTGTATAGAATGAGGATCGAGGCCTCGGTGATCTGGACTCCGACTGGATGAGTGCTTTTTGTTCGTCAAGGGACAGTGCTGCATTTTGGAAGCATTAAACTGTATAAGATTGTTGCGTCTCCAAGCAGTGATTACTTCCAGGTCTCTCGTCAGATAGGAAGTCACTGCTCTCTTTTTTCTAGCTTACCGGTCGAGAGTCATCATCATGCTGAGGAAACAGTACTGGAGCCAATGCCGATCCCTGGGGAACACTCACATTGGTGTAGTGGGATGGAGAGGGAAACCCGTCAGTGACGACGGATATCTTGCGGCCAGAGAGAAAGTCAGCCACCCACCTGCTTCTCTGGGAGGCCATGGAGGGCAGCTGATCGAACGCTTTCATGATATCAAGTGCAACGAAATGACCCTCACCATAAGACTGGATGAGTTTACTGCACAATTGCGTGACGTAAGCTAGGAGGTCTACTGTGAGTCGCTTGTGCCGGAAACACAAAGCAGAGATATAGGCCTGTAGTTGTAACGATCGCTTCACTTCTTTGGGATGGGTTGGACAAATTTCCAGTTTTCTGGGAAGGTGCCGGATTCGTAAGATATCTGGAAGAGATCTGAAAGAACTGAAGCTGCACAACTCTTCAATACAACCGCAGGGATCAAATCCGGACCTGAAGCTTTGTTAACATCGAGCGACAAGAGCACCCGACCTATAGTCGTCAAACTAACACATGCGATTCCGAAATCTGAAAATTTGGACCTGAATAATTCTGGCTTTCGTAAAAACTTGAAGAGGTATAATAGAAATTTAACGAAGTTTTCATGTTTGCTGAACCAGTGCGATGACGCGGCCTACCGCTATCGCACCTGCGTCAGTCTACATGACGCTTAGATATCAGATTAACGTTTCAGGAAGTTAAGGCTCAATATCAGAAAGATTGTATATGATGAACCGTGGATTGCTTAGAAAAATAATAATAAAAAGGATAACAATAACACTTGAACGGCTTCCTGCCGCGCAGACAGTTTGTTTCATTCATGGTATAAACTTGGAAAATGTTGGAAACAAATTGCAAACAGTGCTCAGGTCTACTTACCTAGCAGGGATAGCAATCCACATGCCATCCATATCACAAAACTCATCCCAATGGATCCTGTTCTCTCCAACAGTCCAGAAGGGGAAACGAATATTCCAGAACCTGGAAAAGGGAGAAGAATTAATTTATATCTACTAGGAATTATTTGTCCTAGAGTGTCTTGATTCTGACTATACAGAGCATTTTTCGAATTAGTAGTAGTAGTATTGTATGTCCTAAAAGTTTTGGTACAAAATATTTATCGGATTTTTTTAATGAAAAAATTTATTTAAACATCAACTAGTTATCCTAAATGACAACTCAATACTTAACTAAACCATACTATTGAATTATGTGGAGTGACCCATTTTGCTATACCAGACGCAACTTCGTTCGGATGTCTCAAATGAGGCACTGGACGGAGTTCAGATCAATTTCTCTCAGTTTTTCGCAAATTCGCCGTCTTAATTGTTCTTCATCCTGGGCTTCCCAGCCTCCATAAACTTTCCTAGACAGTGAAGCCCAAAAAAGGATTATCAATTTTGGGAACAAAAAAGGTACCTACGAGGGCGGTTCAATAAGTACCCATGTTTCACGACAGAGGGCGTTACTTTTGGGGAAGTTATTGTTACCATCTTGTGCTGCTATCTATCAAACGACGGCACAACAAATTTCAGTTGATTGATAGGTTAGTTTGGATTACAAGTGTTTTGTGATTTTCGCTAAGATCGCAGTATCGTTCGGTAATTCGCTGTTTGTCTTTGGTTGGAAAGAAATGCGAGGAGATAAAAGCAAAGTTGGATGCTGTTTATGGGGACACTTCGCCATCCATGATCACAGGTAGATATTGGTTCAACGAGTTTGAACGTGGACAAACCTCCGTTTTTGATGAGGATCGACCAAGACGCCCGACAGACGTGGTTACCGAGGTAATCATCCAAAAAGTCCACGACATGATCCTTGCTGATCAACGAACGAAAGTGCGCGAAGTAACAGAGGTTGTAGGTGTGTCGACCGGAACGCCAATCAATATTTTGCATGATAGGTTGGCTATGAAAAAATTGTCTGCCCGATGGGTGCCGCGATTGCTCACTGTTGACAACAAGCGGATGCGGCTGTTAACTTCGAAGCAGTATTTGGAGCAATTTAAGCGAAATCCAAACGAGTTTTTGCATCAAGTTGTCATCGTCGATGAAACCTGGATTCATCGTTACGCATCAGAACCTAAGCAACTATCAAAACGGCGTCATCCTCGTAGATTTTTTTAGAAAAAGGAAGAACGATCACTGGACATTACTATACTGAGTTATTGGACCGCCTCGAAAAAAAATAAACGAGACACGGCCACATTTGACGAAAAATAAGGTGCTGGTTCACCACAATAGCGCACCAGCATATGCATCTGGAGTTGTCGCCGCCAAACTGCATGAACTGCGTTATGAAGTGCTGCCGCATTCACCCGATCTGACCCCGTGCGACTTTTTCTTGTTCCCTGACATGAAGAAGTAGTTCAAGGGAAAAAAATTAGCTCAAACGAGAAAGTCATCGCTGAGATAGAGGCGTATCTTGGAGAGTTCGACAAAACCTATTTTCTTTTTTGGGGGAGGGGGGTCAAGAAGATGACAGGAATGTTGGGAAAGGCGTATATTTCTAAAAGAGGATTATGTTGCAAAATAAAAAGAATTTTTTTGGAAAAAATAGTGTCTTCAGTTCTAGCACGGGTACTTATCGAACCGCCCTCATAGGTTGTGTTGTCAAAGCCAGTTTTGGGCATGTCTTGAGTAATGGCATGATGCTAGGTCTGGCACAAACATGATATGCTCATTAGCTCTGACTATTCAAAGCTTTACCCTCACTCTTCCCACAAAGGGTTGGAATACGCCACTGTTAGAAATTGCGCACCAGACAAGGATTTTATCTGCAAATTTCGCTTTATGTTTGTATCTGGTATTATCAGGGCATTGCGCTACGTTCTCTGAAGAAAATCCATCGTTCCCTTCTTTTCAGAATTACTCAAGATGAAATCCCTTTTTTCATCTAAAATAATGATTTTTCCATTGGCGAAGTGTACCAGTCTCAGTTGACGACAGCATTTGGGCATACGAAGTTGCGCTTGAGAGTATTTGGGGCACTCAAGTCTCTTTCGATATTTAAAACCATTCCTCCAACGATATCGTACTCTACAGGGTTATCCAAATTAAGTGTCCACCATTAGTAACTTTGTTATTAGTGAAAATACAAAGTTGTTTGAATTAGCAAACTAGTAGCATTTTTAACGCTGGTAAAAATGAGAAATAAAAAAAAACAATTGAGATTCGTTATTTTGATTTTTTTCAGTAAAATAACATTTTTTTTAAATGGAAACCCCTGTATATTATATTTTTTTCTGTTAAAGCATCAAATTTTAAACAAAAAAGCTTACAATAACTTTTCTCCTAGGTTACAAATTGTTGAAGTTATGGCCTCCAATCTGAAACAATTAAATTGTATCGACAAACTTTATTTTCAACATCAACTTATAATCTTACAAAATACAATAACAATTTTTTTTAAAGAAGATCCTCGAAAACACCACCTTGTTCTTCAATACATTTTTGGGCACGTTTTTCAACTGCTCGAACTGTCTTAAGTATGGTCCTACCATCTATCTGGGTTATCTTTTCCCTAACTGCAGTCTTTAACGCGTCAAGGTTATCGTACCTTCGCTTGTAAATTTGGTTCTTTAAGTAACCCCACAAGAAGTAATCAAGTGGGTTTAGATCTGGTGATCTGGGAGGCCACTGTATTGGGCCATTTGTTCCTATCCACTGATCATTAAAAGTAGTACTTAGAAAATGATAAGTACCTCTGGAGTTGTGGGCAGGTGCGCCATCTTGCTGAAAATGCAGATGATGTCTACTTATAAGATCCAATTCGTCTAAGAAATTAGTCAGAATTTCTGACATAAATTCCACATATCTTTCACCAGTTAGGGTTCCCTCATAAAAGAACGGGCCAACAATTTTTGAACCAATTATACCGCACCAAACGTTGAAACTGAAACGGACTTGTGGGCCTCTTGGATGTACTAACAAAAGATTTTCTCTTGACCAATAATGGTGGTTTTTTCTATTAAACATTCCAGAATTTGAAAAATTTGATTCATCTGTCCATAAAAGGTAACGAAAGTTATTTACATTTTGGCGACAGAAGCTAAGATACCAATGGCAAAAAACAAGTCTTCTCTCTGGATCCCCTGCCAAAAGCGTTTGAACTGGTCGGTACTTATACGGAATAAATTTGTATTTTTTTAAAATCCTTTGAACAGTACCATAACTGAAATTAGAGTCCTTGAGAATATCTGCTATTGAATTCTCACGATAAGCTTCAAAATATCCAATAACTGCAATTTCCGTGGCCTCGCTTATTATGAATTCTTTTTTTGCCCTTGTTTTAGCAAAAACATTTTCGTTGCCCCTAAATTTTCGATAAAGTCTCAGAAAATATCGTTCATACGGTTGAATGCGAGCGGGATATAATTCACTGTAGTATTCTCTTGCTCTCAAGGAGGATTTTCTGCACACTAAATAGCATTCTAACATATCACACTTTTCTTCATGGGAGAACATTTTTCTTTAAATTAATGACACAATAAAGCTTATAAACAAGTATTTACACTAATGTTTGACATTATTTGATTTTATCATTGTTTTCCAAAGCCTTCTAGTTGCGAGTATGTCCAGTTTAACAATTTGTCGCTTATCTTAATGCTGTCAAATCGCGAACGCCATGTTGTTTTCATAGCCGTCTTAATATTATAATACTGCAAATAATTAAAAATATTTATCGTTATTTTGACTTTATTTTTGACTTTAGCGGAAAAGTGATTATGAACTTTTTTGTTTAAAATTTGATGCTTTAACAGAAAAAAATATAATATACAGGGGTTTCCATTTAAAAAAATGTTATTTTACTGAAAAAAATCAAAATAACGACTCTCAATTGTTTTTTTTATTTCTCATTTTTACCAGCGTTAAAAATGCTACTAGTTTGCTAATTCAAACAACTTTGTATTTTCACTAATAACAAAGTTACTAATGGTGGACACTTAATTTGGATAACCCTGTATAGTCAAATGCCAAAATTGATTACAGTAGCAGAAGTCATCGTGCGCCACTGCTTTGACGCGGTACCTTTTGATTACAGCGACGGTTGCCGACATTTCACAAAGAAAACCTCCGCGTAATAGCAGTGCCGTACGATGAGTTTCGTTACTGTCATCAATTTTGGTATTCTACTATAGTTTTCTTACCTATCATGGTGCCGACAATTAGAGCCACCCCACTGACGAGTCCCACCCGTCTCTTGAGGTGAAGAGAGTCATTCTGAGCTGTGCCCGGCCCCTCCAGCTGGTCCGGCCCCTTTGGCCCGGCCTCTCCGCCGTCCTGAGGCGCGGTCCCGTTGCACCGCCCCCCGCTGTCTCCGCCTGCATTCCCGCCTGCGCCTGCGCCTGTGCTCCCGATTGATGCTGTCCTGTTGCCGCGCCACTGTGCCCGGCTAATGCCCAGACCGCCGTCTTTCGATGGTACGGCGATGGACGCATTGTTGTTGCCTGAAACAAAAAAGAACGTTTTTTTAGAGCGGGGCTGGAATGCTGGAAATGTATCTGAGGTTAAGAAAATTTTGTAACGTTAAATGGTTTTATTTTAATAAAAGTTGGTGAATGTATTTATCTTACTGTAAGTAACAAGTGAAAAAATGTTCAGCCTTATCAGTTGGACATTCCGGTTTTTATACTGCTTTTTTTTAATTCACTAACACCCTAAAAATGAATATTTCAGCCGCAGTAAAGAATCAGCGTTGGCGGATTTTGGTTCTAGACATCCTTTACGATCGGTTACGATGCCTAGAGTACGGAGACCTGTACGATTTCGTCAACTTAGAGAGTTTGATAGGGGCCGTATAGTGGGACTTCGGGAAGCTGGACTTTCTTTTCGGGCAATTGCAGTTAGAGTGCAAAGAAGTGTAGACACTGCGGTTAGGTGTTGTCAGGCATGGCTTCGATTAGGGCGTACGCAAAGAGCAAGGGGCACTGGACCCCGCCGTAGAACAACAGACCATGAATATCGCCGCCTAAGATTATTGGCCTTAAGGGACCGTTTCTCCACTACCAGGTCTATTGCAAATGAATGGTTTGCAGAACACGGAAGACCTATTGGCATGCGAAGTGGTTACCGACGAATGAGAAGTTTTCATACCGGCCACACTGGGTCCTCCCTTTAACTCGAGAACACCGACGTAATCGCCTTGAGTGGTGCAGACAAAGGTCACTCTGGGATCAGGAATGGAACAGTATTGTCTTGAGTGACGAGTCACGATTTTGTTTATGCATGCACGATGGTCGTGCCAGGGTTAGAAGGCGACGTGGTGAAAGGAGGCATCCACAGTTTTTTGTTAAAAGACATGTTCATCACACTGTTGGAGTTATGGTTTGGGGTGGTATAGCTTATGGTTCCAGGTCACCTTTAATCTTCATCAGAGGTAACATGAACGCGCAGCGTTATATCCACGAAGTTCTAGAACCCCATCTTTTACCCAATCTTGACACCCTGGCAAATCCAACTTTCCAACAAGATAATGCCCGACCACATGTTGCAAGAGTCACAATAGACTTCTTTCAACATAATGATGTCACATTGTTACCATGGCCACCAAGATCTCCCGACTTATCCCCAATTGAGCACGTGTGGGATATGATGGGTAGGAGATTGCTCAATTTGCAACGTCCTCCTCAGACTCTAGAAGCACTTCGAGAGGAGTTGGTGGTTGCCTGGAATGAGATATCACAGGAGGACATTGACCACCTGATCAGAAGCATGCCTAGGCGCGTTGGAGGATGCGTAGCTCATCAGGGTGCATCCACACATTATTAAAGGTCAAAGGGCTTTAAAGCAGTGCAATCATTTTGAAATTTTTATCATTTACTTATTATGCTTCATTAAGTACTTATACAAAATTTTATTAAAATAAAACCATTTAAACTGGGTGTTCGGATTTATCTATCACGAGGTATATTATAAGTAATACTATACAGGGTGTTCGAAAAATAGACGAAGAAAATTTAGAAGGTGTTAAAAAATATGGTTTCTATAAACACGGAGCTGGATATCCAGAGTTTTCAAGGTACAAGGTAATAAATTAAAAAAATATATTGATATCTAAAAAAAATATGGATTTTGTTGAAATTTAGCAATACTAGTTGTTTTATTGATAGACTGATTTATCCTTGGACATATTGGAATTAGGCAAAACATGTTCGCCACTGCCCTTTTTGTAACTTTAATATTTGTTGTTTGATTAAGCATCTAAAAATACAACTTCATCGCCTCTTGTATTTTTTGTATCTCACTTCGTTTTCCATTAAATTGCATGTCACTGGACAAAATTGGTTCATTAATTCTTGCTAACAAATCACACGTGCGTTTGACATTTGCCCGTCAGTTTTTCTAGAAAATAATTATTAACGTAATTTTCTTTGCGAAATTTCACTACAAAGCTTTTGTCTCGGTTTTTGTGATGGAAAATTACACTTTTGGGGAAATGACAGACATGCATGTAATGTATGCACGTGCTTATAGAAACTGTTATGCAGCGAGGCGTCGGCATGAAGAAGCGTTTCCCCATCGTAGACCGGAGATTACGGGAAAGAGGTAAATTTTAAATTGAATTTCTTAAACAGAGCACTATAGGAAAAAAACGCAAGAGTAATTTTTTGTATCAACTTGAAGGTAAAATTAGGAAAGAAGCGCGTTTCGTGAAAAAACAGTGACGTCCTATTTTTATTTGGAAAAATAGTGTCACTAATGCCCTGTATCTCCGCCACTGATGCACGTTAATTTTAAGTAAAGACTTTTGAATGTACACAGTATTTACGTAAATTCGCATACCAAATTTTGGTTCATTCCAGTTGACGATCTTGAAGATATTAAAAAAAAAATTATTTATTTTTAAACTTCAGCACACCGTATCATTTTATTTTGAAAAATGTTACATAGAAGTTCCCCCTTAAAATGCGGTCCTGTGTATGATGCTTGATTTCACTGGACAACAAATTTTAGTTTTTTAATTGTATCTTGTGGGAAGAGTGCACTTCTTTGTTAATTTTGGGGCGCTGAATCCAAAAATGACAATGAAATAAAAAAATTAGTTGCGGCTTAGAAAACAAACTTTTTATTTCTAAGGATATATTAAAAAAAGTAACAAGATTCATATACTTATAAGAATCACTATATGCGCTGTCTTTTTGCTGTTCTTTTATGGATCGTTTCTGGAGCATCTCTACCAAGAGTCCAACAGTAGTCTGCAAGCATGGAAGGATTCCACTTTCCCTGGTACCTTCTTTCCATTGTTGAAATATCCTGATGAAAACGTTCGCCGTGCTCATCACTTACGGCTCCGCAATTGTCAGGAAAAAAGTCCAGGTGTGAGTGTAGGAAATGTATCTTAAGAGACATATTACAGCCCATCTTTTGATGCGATGACAGCATATTTTTGACAAGGGTTTTATAGTTGTCAGCTTTTCTATTTCCCAAGAAATTAGTGACTACCAGACGGAAATCATTCCAAGCAGTTTTTTCAATACCTGTTAAAGCGTTTTCAAACTGTGTATCTTTCAAAATATTTCGAATGTGTGGCCCAACAAAAATACCTTCTTTAACCTTTGCCTCACTTAGTCTTGGAAATTTTTGATGCAGGTATTGAAAAGCTAACCCATCTCTATCTAATGCCTTGACAAAGTTTTTCATTAGGCCCAACTTGATGTGCAGTGGTGGTAATAAATTTTTTTTCGAATCTACTAATGGCATATGCTGTACATTTTTTTGACCTGGCTCTAGGAATTGACGAACAGGCCAGTTTTGTCTGGTGTAATGAAGTGCCTTTGCCCGACTGTCCCATTCACACAAAAAACAGCAAAACTTTGTGTAGCCTAGCTGCAGCCCAAGTAAAAGTGCAACAACTTTCAAGTCGCAACAAATATGCCATTGGTGCTCATCGTATTTTATGCATGTCAATAGGTACTTCATATTGCCATATGATTCTTTCATGTGAACTGCATACCCTACAGGAAGAGATGGTAAAATATTTCCAATATATGTTGAACTGTCTATAAACAATCTCCATTCTTCTGGGTTATAGTTTATATTTAAAGCCGCCAGTAAGCCGTTAATGTTACTGCAGAAAACCAAGTTATTCTCCATATTGGAAAATGGTTCTAAGTCTTTGTGGCGTTTATGAAAACCACATACCGAAACATCGTCTTCTAACAAGTTCCACTGCTGAAGTCTTGATCCAAGTAACTCTGCCTTACATTTTGGAAGTTCTAAATATCTTACAAGATCATTTAATTCTGACTGTGTTATTTTGTGCGGTTGGTGGCATGACGTGCTTGGTATAAAATCAGGATCTCTTGACGTTGATGGCATATCTTCTTCCTGACGAATCACTCGGTCGCCATGATCTGATTCGTTTTCTGATTCGCAAGTGTAGGATTTTGGGGGTTTTGGAATAGGATTTTCGTCACTGTGAGGCACAGGTCTCATCGCAGATGGTATGTTTGGGTAGTTAATAACCGATTTTTTTTTCTTGGACATACCTGTGGCTTGTCCAACACAAGGTACCATGCAAAAGTAACAATCATTAATATGATTTGTAGGCTCTCTCCAAACCATTGGGACAGCAAAGCGCATAGACCGTTTTTTGCCATTTAACCAGCTCCTCAGACTTGAAGCACATGTATTACAGCAGATGTGGGGTGCCCACTGTTTGTCTTGATCACCTAGTTTACAACCGAAATAAAGCTGATATGCCTTTGTTATTAGTGGAGTAATAGACCGTCTCTGAGACGCAAAAGTCACATCACTACACACGTAACAAAACTGATCTGGATTGTTTACACACTTTCGAGACATCTTGCATGAACGCTGTCAGCCAACTGAGGAAAAAATGGCTAATATAAAACAATATAATGTACACGTATGTATAACGTAACACAATCATTCCGATTACATCATCTTTCCTTGCCGAATATAAAAATGTAGCACGTGCATTCTTGTGAATTACAGTATATTAACACTGTCACAGCAGGAACACATATAATTACCGTATCTCTAAAACTTGAACTAATATTGAAAAAATAAGTTTCATTCCGGTTTTAGCACATTAAAAATAGTAATATTTTGTTGATTTTATTTAGGATATTTTTTGGCTGTTGATCAGTGTTTCTGGTCACGCCTTGTGTATCACCCTGTATATTATTCACAGAGCCATCAACCAACTTCCACATCGTGCTCGCTGTCACCCATTCATACCTCAGGTGTAAATGTTATTGACTTGAAATTATCGTTTGCTATAAATATGACTACTGATCCGGGATTTAAAATAACAGTCGCGTCCAGTTTAAAAACGAGAGCAATGAAATTGCTGAAATCCTACTGCCAAAAAGCATCTATCTCTACACGCTCAATTAAGCTTGTCGCTATGCTTTATTGTCATTTTAATGCTATATTCTTTTAGTTTCTTAATATATCTCAAGACATGTGATGCCGAAACAAA